CCCCCAAGAAAAAAAAGAGGCGCCCGGAAAGACTCAACACTCACACTCGCGCAATTGGACCTGCCCCTTATTCCTGGCTACCCCATCAACTGCTAGCTGATGTTGGATCATTGTCTGAGAGCACACTCACACTAGCACAATCTTAAACCGCCAGTGCCTTTCCCAGCTATCGGCCACGGGCCCTGTGCGCCGAGTTCTGCCGGTGCACCTGGCCGCCGCCACTGGAGGCCGACTGCGGCCTCCGTGTTAACCGCCGTGACTTGGCAAAATGCCTGGGAAAGGTATGCCCTGGTGGTTTAAATGCACCCGACCACAATTACAGCCCCACTTGGATGTATCTGACTGCATTTACGTCAAGGAACATAAGTAACAAGGTCCTACTGTGAGTATGCCCTGAGTGCGTTCAAGTTCTTGATTAATGTTGAACCACGTGGGTGATTTTTTTATTACACCCCCCCCCCCCCCCCCCCCCTCCACCTGCTGACATTTTCCCCCAATTGAATCTGAATGGAACCGGCTGCTGGCAGGTTGGCACCTCAGAACCAGGGCGTCCGTTTGCACGAGCACAAATTTTGCTGGGCCCTCTTGATGGGCCCAGTTACAAAGTGCTGGTTAAACCACGCAGTTCTTGGGCCCAGCTATTGGCCGCGGGAAAAAATAGAGTAGAAACATTTCTAGTCGGATGAATTTGGTCGCTTCTGTAGTATCCCGTACATTTCCGTAAATCGTGGCACGTTAAGGGGCACGACACGAGGAAGTACTGGTGGTTTAAAACTATTGCCTGTCCTTTTCATCATGAGTTCAGTGTCGTCGAGTCTATAATAGCGTTTATACCCACTCTCAGGCCGTACTTTCCTATTTGTTTCTGGATGTATTATTTTGGTCAGATTCAATGCACTTACGGCCGTGAATTCGTGACCTTCGTTCTCCCCACGAATCCATTGGAGCCAAGCAAAGAAGAAAAAAAAAAAAAAAAAAAAAAAAAAGATAGTGCCAGTGCGTGCGCACAAAGGGCTGCTGTCTGCTGGGCAAACGGGGGGAAGCGGATTATTACTTAGCGGCTTCTCCCAATCCCCTTAATACCAGCCATGGGGACAGTGGATGTTATCATTTACCTTAGGCTTTCAAGTAGGCAAGTAATAATAACCCAGGCGGCCTGGTAGTCCCACCTTTCAATTTTTTTTTTTTTTTAATTAATTAAACAACTTTCAATTTTCGCAGTCGTTACAATCACGGGACAGTTCGAACAAATAGCTCAATCAAAATTGTTCAGGGACGCTGGACACGCTTTCCAGCAGGTGTTGCTGCCCACCAATAGATCGAGCCTCCCCGGGAGTGCTACCGTCTTCCTGCGAACACAATGCACCCTTATTTTGGCTGTATCTGGCCGCAAATATAGCTTGTATACGTTCATTTTTAGGGTGCGTTATTTTCCGGGGGGGAAGACGGTAGTGGTGCCTGATCTGAATATCAGCATCCCTAGCACTCTGAAGCGGCAAAGGTACTAGTTGATGAA